ACTATCGAAATATAATGGTAGAAAATGTTAATTGGACATACTGAATGTAAACTAGGTATACATAGTTGCTGCAATCGATAATATATTTTGCTGCTTATTTTACTCATAACAAAAAACCGTCAATACCGCTACTCACATTATGGGCACCTTTTTATACTTAAATCTCATAATGATTTTTAAAAATACATATGTAGGTGCATACTATAAGTAGTGGTTGTCACGGTTTTTTTATTAGGTATGATGAAAAGAAGCTGTAAACTAAATTATCGTTGGAGCCAACTATATTTTAATTTATTTTTTCTACAGTAACTATGCACGGTAAGGGTTCAAAATATGCCTATACTGTGAGGCAACTCAATTCGAGTATAAATTAACACTTACATTCCAAGTATCTTCTTGGTCTACCGGCACCCCGTTCCCCTTATTCCATCATTTCTATAAAAAATAGTATGATTTATAACTTTTAATTTTTATTGAGAAAATTGGTGAAATTTTGTTGTACGGCGAATTTAAATTTATGGGCCCTCCATAAATTTACACTGTAAGTTCGAATATTAGTTAAACCTAGGAATACCCAGGTAATAGCCGGAAATATGCAAAAGAAGGGGTGAGTTTAGGTTAGAGTAGAATTAGGTTTTAGTTGGTTTTGAATTAATAAAAATATAGACCTAATCTAAACTTAACCGAAACTGACCCACTTTTTGGTATATTTCGGGCTCCTACGTGGGCAACTCTACGTTTAACCAATATTCGGGCTTTTACGGTAACATAATACTCAATCTGATTGGTTTAATCTGGCTCCATAACAAAACTGTGGGTTCGAGGTGCTATTGCAAATTAATTTAATTAATTCTATGTATACACTTTCATAAAAAGCCATCACGATAAAAATTAAATATCAAAATTATTTAACGGTGCGAACTTGTTCACTATACGTATCTGGAATATATTTGCGAATGGCGATCAGCGATACGATGGTGCGTCCAGACCTATGGAGACGAGCGCGAGACATTCCAAATTCGCTGTGTGGACGAGTCTCGCGAGAGCCTCGCGAGTCAACCCACAGAGCCTCGTTGCTATCCGTCCCCTGTCGATTTTTCAACTGCCGATCAAAGAAAGCTCGAAAGTCTGGACGTGTTTTTTGTAGGCTCACCCGACTGCGAGATATTAGGTCTGATTTATAAATTTCGACTATATAAAATTAAGTAATCTCAAATTTTTAAATCGTACACCGTATGTATTATTATTTTTTCTGATAGAATTTACAAATTTTGCGTCACTGATAATTTTTACCCTACCGAAATCCAACATTTCTTTAAACAAATAGAATTATTACAACATCTATTAATTTTAGATATATAATATCAAAAAATGCAAGAAAAGTTACCGAATTGTACGTATGTATAACCCGAGGTATAACCCAATAATAAAATAAAAATTAGGGTATTCCCATTAGAAAATATGTTATATCCGCAACACTTTTTTGAAGTACCCTGTATACTCTATAGTAATGTTAAAATGTGCTTCTTAACCTTACCAATAACTTTTCTATTTAACATTTTGTTCTAAAAATATTAAAAACCGTATTATGTAAAAAACGTTGTGTAAGGGATAAAGGGGAAAACAGCCAAAAGAGGGAAAACCGACAATGAATACCATGTTAAAGACCGAATACCATATTAAAGATACAAAAATTTATTACTGTATGCGTTATTATTTGGCCATCGTTTGTTATATTCAATTGCAATTTAATATGTGTTTGGCCTCCTTTCACTATGATCCCACTCGGCTTGTCTCGTGGAAGATTTACGTAAAAAATGGATAGAAAATGTCTCGCTCTCGTCTCGCTCTTGTCTCGCTCTTGTCTTGCTCTCGTCTCGCACTCGGCTCGTCAGGTCTGGACGCACCATAGACTGCCGGAGTGTTGACGTCACGAATGTCAAATTGCTTTTCAAACTAGGTTTAGTTCTTTTATATTTCTATTTAGCTCTTCCAAATGACGTCACAAATTAATATAAAATGTAAAAAAAACCATGTGATTGCCGACAACCGCCGACTTGTGTCTGGTATTTTCAATACGCCTATGATGGTTGCGCATGTTGCAAAATCTGTGAATTTTGTGCGAAACTACACTCTAGCCCAGTGATTCTCAAACTGGGTTCCGCGGAACCCCAGGGTTCCGCAAAGGGGCGATTGGGGTTCCGCAAGAAGCCAATAATTTTTTTTTTAAATTGTGGTATCACCCAACAATGAAATGGTGTAAATAAAAAAAATATTCTTAGTACTCCCCTTCTGATCTGCATCCGAGCCCGAGCTCGCGCGCTTGTTGCGACTCGTTAATTTTACTTCGCTTTGCAGTCATTGTAATGCCGTGTATGTATTTTGCTATTTTGTGCCTTCTAGTAATCGCCGGCCGCTGTCCTAGGTGCTTTTGTTTTTATGCGGTAGCCTTCCTTACGCAGTCTTCGCATTGAAAGTGTTTGTTTTAAACCCGTTGAAAGACGATTTGTTTGTTTTTCTTGCCTTTACTCTTATGTAATTATTATTTAAAATGGATAAATGGCTGAAAACTGGTTGTTTTAAAAGAAAACAAGAGGTAGAGGAAGATCCAACCATCAGTCAAGATGAAACTGTTGAAGGGATTTGGAGTAATGCTAGCAGCGATGAGCCGTCAACTTCAAGTTTTGTTCCCGTTGCGAATAAGAAAATTAAAATTAGAAAATATTGCCCAGAATATTTATCCTATGGTTTTGCTTCCACTGGGGATCCTAGTGCGCCAAACAGCCAGTGTGTAATTTGTTTTAAGACTTTCAGCAACAGTTCATTAGCTCCAGCGAAACTTCTAAGACACTTACAAACAAATCATAGTGAATACAAGGACAAACCTGTGGATTTTTTTCAACGCAAGTTAGTGGAAATGAATAAAAGTAAAAAGAATTTATCGTCTTTAGTGGGTAGCAGCATTAATGAAAAAGCATGTAAAGCCTCATTTCAAGTAAGTTACCGCATAGCTAAGGCTGGAAAAGCGCATATAATTGCCGAAACACTTATTAAACCTTGTTTAATAGATGTTGTCGAAACCATGATTGGTGAAAAGTTTAGTAATAGTGTAAAAATGCTGCCACTTTCAAACGATACTGTTCATAGGAGAATTTATGAAATTAGTAACGAAATAGAAAATACAGTTATTCAACGGATAAAAGGTAGTGGTTGGTATGCACTACAGCTTGATGAAACAACAGACGTGGCAGGGTGTGCAGTATTGCTTGTTATTGTGAGGTACATACACAACAACTCTGCAGAAGAAGAAATGTTACTTTGCAAACCTTTGAAGACCCATACAACCGGCGAGGAAATTTTTAAGATGATCGATTCTTATATCACTGAAAAAGAACTTAATTGGAATCAGTGCATTAATATCTGCACTGACGGTGCAAAAGCAATGACTGGTAAATATTCTGGATTTGTTGCACGTGTTAAAAATGTCGTTCCAGAAATTGAAAGTAGCCATTGTATTATTCATAGACAAGCATTGGCAGTAAAAAAAATTCCTCCCGTTCTTAAAAACGTTTTGGATGAAGCAGTAAAAATTGTAAATTTTATAAAGTCCAGGCCTCTAAATTCACGAATTTTTGCTGTTCTTTGTGAAGAAATGGGTAGCCAATTCACCACGCTTTTGCTTCACACCGAAGTGCGATGGTTATCGCGAGGAAAAGTATTGGTTCGCCTGTTTACTCTGCGAAATGAGGTGATGGTGTTTCTTAATGACTCTTCATTTGAATTATCATCAAGAATAACTGACATCAAGTGGTTACAATGTTTGGCATATCTTGCCGATGTCTTTTCAAGCCTTAATGAATTAAATTTATCACTCCAGGGAACTTCTGTAACAGTAATCTCCTTATATGACAAAATCCAGGCCAAGTTAAATAAAATACAGTTTTGGGAATCGTGTATAAACAGAGGAATCTCGGAGTGCTTTCCTACACTGCATGATTTTGTGTGTGAGTCGAAGACTGCATTGTCAGCAGAAATCACTTCGGAGATAATAAACCATCTTCAGAACCTACAAGTTTCAATCAGAGAATATTTTCCAAGACGAGAAGAGGATCTTGATTGGGTTCGCAATCCATTCTCAGTCCCAGTCGAAAAGTTTCATCAAACCCTAACTGTAAAACAAATTGAACAACTTATTGATGTTGCTGCCGATGGAAACCTTAAAACTACTTTCAACTCGGCTACATTGTTGCAGTTTTGGGCCCAGCTTAGAAGTGAATATCCAGAATTAGCCAATTTTGCTGTTAAAAAATTGTTGCCGTTTGCTACAACTTACCGTTGTGAAGTAGGGTTTTCGAAGTATGCTCTTACAAAAACCGACTTAAGAAGTAAACTTAATCCTGAAGCAGATATGCGGATACAACTTTCAAACATTGAACCCGATATCGACAAACTTGTATCAAACAAACAGGCCCATCCTTCGCATTAAGCTCATAAAAAAATTTGTAATGAATATTTAAGTGTTTTACTGTTTCTGAGTTATTAATATATTATGTACTTAATTCTTACATTTTTTTATTTACTCTTAATTTAGAAGCTCAATAAGTAGTATTAATATCGATATATTGACACAAAACCAAACATGCACTATGTCTTATATTTAAGAATATAGGGTAGGGGTTCCCTAGAAAAAAAAAGTGCACTCTAGGGTTCCTCACTCTACAAAAGATTGAGAAACACTGCTCTAGCCTAATGGATGTACATCCGAGAACTGTAACGGATTATAAACTATTGCCATTCGCTTTGGCGTTAAATCTCTTGTAAGAATACCAAATGTCAGGGAAGACCAATGTTCTTAAAAAGAAACAAAATATAATTTTATCTACACTTTCAAAGGCAGTAAATTACTCTAAGCACCTGAAGGCATATATTCATAGGAACATTTTGTTTTACTTTTATTATGACTGAATAAATATTTAAATATCTTAATAGGCAATATTTACGTTTGTGTAACATCATTGGAAACAGTATCTAAATTTTCTTTAGGCATTTCGTTAGTAATATCTGAAGTTACAGATCCAGGACAAACAGATATGACTTTCACTTTGGTCTCCTCGTAGAGTACAGGCAAACCCCATGATAAAGCCATACCATTTACTGCAAACTTAGTGCAAGAATAGATGGGGTTATCTGGAGATCCTCGAATACCTTTGGTGGAAGAAATATTTAAAATTACGGCTTCGTCTGTAGATCTGTTGTTTTGTAGGTAGTTTTCGAGTCCTAAGAGTATTCCGTTTACAGTACCTTTCTGTAAATGAAACGTATATAGAGACAAGAATATTCATAGGAAAATATTGCTATTTAATATCTACTCACAACATTTACGTCGATTATTTTTTCCCAGGCGTCATCATCTAAAATCCCTGCATTGTTAACTAAAATATCGACTTGTCCAAAAGCTTCCACTGTATTTTGAAAAGCATCTAGAAAATTAAAATGCATCATTAGGTATCGTAAATGCATATGAAATATTTGTTAGGTTATATTTCTTTTTCAAATGACTTATTTTTAAACGTTATATTATAAGTCTTTTATCTATGCTTTATATGTTCAAGCTGTCATTGACTTTTGATGTATGAATTATCTTTCAATTTTACACTCACCAGCACGAAAAACAGGCACCTTAAAATTTTGACGTATTTTAAAGTTTAGTATATTTTGTTCTAGTGGGCCGATTTATATGATTTTTTTAAGAAATTTGTAGCAAAATTATTTGACTTTTTAGTATCTTTTTGTAAATTAAAAATGAAAATTGCCATCTGTCAATTATACGAGGGGAAACAAAATGTTGATATTTTGGTGAAAGTTTGCAACATCCTGTGGAGTACGTTAACAAAGCAAGGAATTTAAAAATCACTTTATCATCTAGATGTATCTTTTCTCAATAGTATGTTTTTTGATTCATCTCAATAGCTTTTTTTTGAGATGTTCGCTTTTGAAGAAAACACTTTTTGAAGAAGAAATATTTTTTCGAATTTTTACATTAAAACAATGCCCTTGCTTTTGGTCGTAGTCAACAAACCTATAAAATAGTGTTTATGATTTATGTAATGTCACTGTCTTTGAAAATCATATAGGCAGTTATTCTGAGTTGATCTCTGCCACGATCAATTAAAGCAGCAATACCCGACACTTCAGAACTTATCTATACTAGAGCAATAAACAATAAAAATATGACTTTTCAATGACAGTGATATTGCGAAAACAATAAACCAAAGCAATAAACATTATTTTATAAGTGTGGTGATGAGGATCCAAAATCAACGACTAAAATTGTTACAAATCGTTACTGTCTTAATCAAAAGCGAATATCTCCAATAAAAATAAAACGACTACGATGAATAAAAAACAAACTCTCGAGAAAAAAAATCCTTGCTTTGTTAACATATTCCACATGGTGTTTCGAACTTTCACCAAAATATCAACATTTTGTTTTCTCTCGTATAGTTGACAGATAAAAACTTTATTTTTAATTTAAAAAGAGATACTAAAAAGGCAAATAATCTAGCTACAAATTGCTTAAAAATCATCAAAATCGGCACACTAGAACAAAATATATTAAATTTTAAAATACCCCGTTGGTGCCCGTTTTTCGTGCCGGTGAGTGTAATAATTATTATAATTCTTTTTTCCCTCTAATATTTTCTAAAAGGTATTTTATGAGTTTGATTTTTATTACAATGTGTTTCAGTCTTTCTCCATTTGCTATGGACACAGATGCTACAGGTTGCTTTAACATTACTCGTCCTATATACAGCGTGAGTTTCCTACGATCTTCTCTATGTGTATCTCGGAAACTACTGGAGATAGAGTCGGTTAAATGGGGAAAGAATTGCAGTTTTGTGGGGTCATAAATATCATTCATGGCTTACTAGATATTTCGAAACAAAACAAATTTTGGCTATTTTAAAAATTGACGCATTATAATATATTTTAGACAAAAAGTTTTCAGATAAATGTTGTAAATAATCGCATCTCTAATGAGTTTGTATTCTCCGATATTTTCGGAAGTGTGTAGTTTTTGACATATGACACAAATATATGTTTTTTTTTAAATGGAAACCATAGACCATGACTTCATAAAAGCGCCATTTTTTAAGCTTTTCAGCGATATAAGCTATATGTTTTTATCAAAAAATCGCTGAGTTATAGCCGCGATATTTTTAACAAAACTTATCAGATCGTCACAAGAAAACTACTGACTTCTAAAGTCAATGCAATAAAAGAAAGACATGATTGATATTGACAAATTGTTCTTTTTATATTTACCTTCAAATTGAGTAATATCTGTAACATCAGTCTTTACAAATAAAATACTGTACTCGCTAAATTTCTCTGATATAGTTTGTACCGCTCTCAGTCCGGCTTCTTCATCGATATCTGCAATAGACACACCCTACAAAAGATAAAAACATTTTTAGAAACTAAATATAATTATATATAGTTCCCATGTATAAAATAAATCAAATCGGATACTAAGAATATCATCAGTAGATAATAGTGGTCACTTACATGACCTTTTACATAATAGGTGGGGCCACACACGAGAGGTATTTTTAAACGATCTTTCCCGCTGCTCGATCTGTCATATCAATCAAATATCTCATTTTCTCAACAGAACTGCTCTGTGAAGGAACAAATCGGTTAGTTAGGTGCAAATTCTCTCAAATTTTAAAGGGATTGAACCGCGAGTTAGATATTTTATACTGCTATAAAATGTCGGCAGATTTTCATTTAGTGATGGAGAAGACGATGACGATGACATCAATGGTATTTTTATTAGATTTTTATGTATTTTTCGATGGTATTTTTATTAGATTTGTGTATGCTGGAAATAATGAAAAAAATTATTAAAAAGTGGATAAAAATTGGCAATCCAAGAAAGACAAAAATATGGGCACATGTCCGTACTTCATGAACTGAGAAAAAATAACACGTAATTAATAAAAAATATCACTCCACAGCGCACAGTAACCAGTGAGTCTTGTGCAGAACAGGTCCCCACGAAATCGTGGTTTTTTTAATTTTTAATGTGGATCCCATAGTTAATGGAATGGTCTAAAAGAAAAAAATTGTTGGATGAACCACTTTTTCTACGAAAAAAAATAATTAAAAATTCCAAATTTTCACTACATTTCAATGCGAAAACTCCCTATTATAACCTTCATAAAGACAGTAAAATACAAGGTTATGCACAGTGTTGCCATACTCACCCTGTGTAAAATCGACGAAAACGTTCTACTTTATATTCATTTTTTTTACATTTAGTACGCACTTTAAGAACACGAAAAATTAAAAATATAATAAACGAGGCAAAACATAAACACTATAAAAATAAATTGACAATAAAATCATTACACAGTATTTAGCACAATTGTTTAAAAATATATTTTTCCCGGATTTGTTCAGTAAGATTCCGAAATCGATGTGATCTGCGTACTTCCAAACACTCCCCACCAACCTAACCTAACCAATGCATTAACACCCCCAAATAACCAGGCTAACCAATGCATTAACACCCTCCAAATAACCAGACTAACCAATGCATTACCACCCTCCAAATAACCAGAATATCTAACCTAACCTAACCAATGCATTAACACCCTTAAAAATCACTTTATCATCTAGGTTTATCTTTTCTCAATAGTATGTTTTTTGGTTCATCTCAATAGCTTTTTTTTGAGATGTTCGCTTTTGAAGAAAACACTTTTTGAAGAAGAAATATTTTTTCGAATTTTTACATTAAAACAATGCCCTTGCTTTTGGTCGTAGTCAACAAACCTATAAAATAGTGTTTATGATTTATGTAATGTCACTGTCTTTGAAAATCATATAGGCAGTTATTCTGAGTTGATCTCTGCCACAATCAATTAAAGCAGCAATAGCCGACACTTCAGAACTTAAAGCCATCTCTACTAGAGCAATAAACAATAAAAATATGACTTTTCAATGACAGTGATATTGCAAAAATAATAAACCAAAGCAATAAACACTATTTTATAAGTGTGGTGATGAGGATCCAAAATCAATGGCTAAAATTGTTACAAATCGTTACCAACCTAACCTAACCAATGCATTAACACCCCCAAAATAACCAGGCTAACCAATGCATTAACACCCCCAAATAACCAGACTAACCAATGCATTACCACCCTCCAAATAACCAGAATATCTAACCTAACCTAACCAATGCATTAACACCCCCAAATAACCAGGCTAACCAATGCATTAACACCCTCCAAATCACCAGGCTAACCAATGCATTAACACCCTCCAAATAATCAGGCTAACCAATGCATTACCACCCTCCAAATAACCAGCCTATCTAACCTAACCTAACCAATGCATTAACACCCCCAAATAACCAGGCTAACCAATGCATTAACACCCTCCAAATAACCATGCTAACCAATGCATTACCACCCTCCAAATAACCAGGCTAACCAATGCATTAACACCCCCAAATAACCAGGCTAACCAATGCATTAACACCCTCCAAATAACCAGGCTAACCAATACATTACCACCCTCCAAATAACCAGGCTAACCATTGCATTAACACCCTCCAAATAACCAGGCTAACCAATGCATTACCACCTTCCAAATAACCAGGCTAACCTAATTGAGCCTAATGACATAAAAAACTTATATTTTCGTAGAACCTGAAAAATCCGCAAATTTTATTTCAGAAATTGCTTTAAAATAATCCACACTAACGAATAAGCTACTAGACAGTTCAATTTTTGTTGCACTAAAGTGATAACTTACCGTTTTAAGTCCCTCCACAACAACTTTATTTCAGAAGAAAATCATATAAAGTAATTTTATTGACAACGTCGCAAATTCTATGCGAAGGCCATAGATGACATACCGATGATCGATTAACTGTCAATCGAAAAAGTCATAAAATTGCTAGCTTGAGCTGATGTAATTAAATATATTTTCTTAATTTTTATGCTTACAAAGAAGATTCGTTACATTTTTGTGCTTAAATTAGATCATTTCACGTCTATATAAGGTAATAAAGTACTAATATGTGATGTTTTTACTGAATCCGTGTAGAAAATTTAACATATTTACTGTCCGTCGCCTGTACCTAAAATACGTTTTTTTGCCGCTTTTTAAAGATAAAACACATTCATCCAACAATTTTTATGCTTAAAAATATTCAGTTTTAGATAATCTTGCAAAAAAATCCCAAAAAAGTGTTAAATGCGTGGGGACCTATTGTGCACCAGAGCCGTAACCAGTAACAGACAGATATTTAAAACGATTTATTCCATCGGTATAAAACCCCAAAGGTTTCTAACATTTCAAGCGGCCGCTACTGTTATAGAGCACTAACGTGCGTGTAAATAGGAGGGATTTATCGGTGAGGACAAATCTGCGAAAAATACCTCTCGTGTGTGGCCGGCTAATAATTAACTTAACGATTAAAAACTCTTATTATTATTAATTTTAAAGAAATCATTGTTTATTATAAATTTAATCTACGACAATGTTATTATGACACATTTAACATTGTCATTTGGATGTCATTATGGCTTTCATAATAACAGGCAAATTTTAAAATAAGAACCAAGAAAGAAAAGGTACCTAAACACGTTTTTATCTGGTTTATTTATGGTAAACATTAATTATAGTATTAGTACAATTGGTTAAATTAATTCCAGACGATGACAGGTGAGTTGAATTTTTAGAAAGTAAATTTATTTCCTGAGTGCTTGAACTTGTTGAAGACCCAATCATTGCCAGAAATGTTACCCAAAATATTACACATGACACCTTTTTCTTATTTTCTTTGGAATTTTCTATATAGCTCTCTGCCACTGTGTTAGAGCGCCAACCACCATCTTTTAACAGTTAATAAATCCACTTCTCAATCTGCAAGCAACGACGCAGACGATCTACGGAAACAATGTCCAGGGTATTGTTGTGGATTTGGAAGCCTTAGGAACAATGCTATTTTATACGGCATTTTACCTAAAGTATTAATGACAACGGGTTGTTTAATACGTTTTCCATTTCTGTACCCCACAAAAAATCGAGTATGCTCTGTGTTGCTTGGCCGCATAACCATTTCCACCATATTTATTCCTTCAACGTTCCCTTTCGTTATAAAAAAATCTCGTGTTATCTTTGTTTTCGTAACTGGAATAATGACATGAATGTATTGTCCTTCATCTTTAACATTTTGCAGCTGCAGATTTGTCAACTCGATACGCCTACAGGCTCCCGCAAATCCCACTATCTATGAAACGTTTGTCAGCAAATAAGTTTTATCATCGGCTTCCAACAAAAAACGAGTTATGTCTTTTTTTCTTAAAATTCTCGATTTTTTTGACCGAAATCCTTCCGATTTTCTTTTTAGAAATGCAATTAAATGGACGTACTAATATCTGTATTTTTCTTCACTGATATAACTGAACATAGCATGGAATAATATACACAAAGTGATGAAGCCTTCCTCTGTTTTGAAATATGTTCAAAATATGCCAGGAGAACCTTTTCGTTACTACAATTCTTGATTCCTTTCCCTTTACACCAATCTTCAAGTTTTACATAGGCTTGCTCGTACGTTTGTCTTGATTTTTCGGAAAGTAGGGAATCGACAACGTTTTGCGCAATGCCTTCAATATCCGAAGGGACACTTTTAGAATCAGAGTCACCCATATTAATATTATTTTTTGCTTTTTGCTAAAACTGAACGTTTAACAAAAAATTGAACATCAATAATTGAGTTGTCAAAGTCAAAACGGAAACAATCAACAAGCACGGTTACTACGGCGTCGACTAATATGAGCACTTGATAATTTTGAATTTTAATTTTTATGAGGATATCTCTGATATTTTAAATTAAATCAAATCTCTTTGGATCATCCCTCGGTGTCGCGCCGTAGATTAAATTTTGAATGATACATGTTCGATACGAACTTTTTAATGAAACTTGTGTAACTAACTATGATATTCGTATCGAACTTCTATCATTAATAACTATATAATCTATATGCGACCATTCATGCTTCAAATACCGCTATCCTAATATTAGCCAGACTTAACAGGTCCTAAGAAATATAGGTTATTTTATATTCTTTGTATAGGTTATCGTCAAACTGAAGTAGTATGTATAGTAATATTAAAAGATGCAGACGAGAAGAAGTCATACAAATTGACTTTCATTTTTTAAAATTCTGTTTTTAAAATCTTGTTATCTCAATGCAATTGGTGACTGACTTACACTGATTGACTTCTGAACCCTCCATATTAAAAAAAATAGATATTACAAATAGATTAAAAATGTTTAATCAACGGTTTAATATAAAAATTACCTAAACATACCTTAGCTCCGTTTTCTAACAATCCGATAGCACAAAAATATCCAATACCAGTGGCGCCCCCCGTGATCAGAGCGACCTTATTCGCAACCGAAAAATGAGTACTCATATCTGACGGAACGGAGTAAACAACTGCCTTTAGACTTGTCTTGGGTCAGCTGGCCAGCAGCGTATTTATCTTTCAGACGATTAAAGCAAAGATATCATCTTTGTTGCCTCCTTTGTTCGGATGTTTTGAGTTCAGAGCAATTAATAATTTTAATAGCCGTCGGTAATTGGAAGATAAAAGATATAAATATAAAAATCGTTATGCGAAATTTATAGTACGTGGCAAACTAATAATAATATTTAGTTTGATAAGAATATGGTTATCGATCTTTAATAAAATGTTCTATTGTAAAACTCTTCGTTGTTTTTTTTCAAGCAAGTGAGATGAATGATACTTTAAATATCTTTGAATAGTACAGACATTTATTTGTCGAAGGTTTGGTTTGGAATTGTCACATTTTCTTTTGATGTAGCAAAGTATAGTTTTAAAGTTATGGAAAATATTAAACAAAAAAAAAGAAGAAAATAATTATTGTATTATGTCTATCACCGATTTTTTGTTTATTGATATTCAAAGTGAAGTATGGAAAACCTCGGACAGACTCATCAACATCCCAAGTAGCATTTTCACGACTTGCGACCACAGGTTTACTAAACAAAACATTGGATTAGTTACAAAAAATAGTTAGCTCCGTACCTTGGGTATTAAAATAAATGTAAACGTTGTTGTAACGTTGTGCCGACGTTGAACTAGTACTACCACAAAGTAAAAGCTTCTGCGACGTCGAATAAACGTTGTCTTGTAACCTTTTTTGCTGAAGTGATCTTCAGGTGATTCGGACAACGTAGTTACAATGTTGGGCAATAAAGAGTTTTCCGACGTTACTTTCAGGACCTATTCCAACGCTATGCAAACGTCGTCTGTTTTACTAATTCGAACGTTGTTTAGATTTCCTTATTCTTACGTTGGTAGGACGTCGAGCCACTACCATTTTGGCAACTGTATTGAACCATAACCTTAAATCTTAAATTTTCACTTCATTGTTCTGTTCAGTCAGACAGTTTTCAGTGCTGTTTTTGTTTTTATAAATAAAACTTCATTAAAATGGGACGTAAGAAAGGCACATATAAAACTAAATTTAAATATACATCGACATATTACCGATACTTTATCCACTCCCTCGTTTATTTAGAATATAGAGGACGGTACAAGCTAGACTCTAGGATGACTAAATTAGGCAATCTTGCGACTAGTATACTACCTGTTAAGGCTGAACTCCGACTTTATTAGTCCAGTATGCGACTATTCGAACTACTCCAAAACAACAAAGTGAAAGCCGCCATGTTGTTGAATAAGAAAATGTTTCGTTCCTAAAATAGCAATTCCTGCTTTTTGAATACATTAACTTGAAATATTTGACCCTAAACAACACGCGGAAACAATTTTTTTTTCGACTGCGAATAAGTTATTCTCATTTTACTAAAAAAAAAATTAAGACATTTTTTAAAACTTCTTTAATTTTAAGGCCCATTATTATTTTTCAAAGTAGAAACAATACATTTATCAATAAAGTTGTTTGCGTTTAACTTTTTTGCCTTGGGTAACGAGTTACAGAGTTGGTTAAAGTGTTTCAATAATTATGATCTTCAAACATCCTCCACACTTAAATACTTTTGTTTTGTTTTCCTTTACTACCATCTGGCATATGTCTCTAACTAACTCATAAAAATAATATTTTTACTATAATTATCCCAATTTAGGATAAAACGCGACTTAGACGCCATATTATTATAGTTTTGTATTTCCGTAAATTAGGATTTTAAACAACGTTGCAGTTTGTACTAAATTAGGCTGCTATAGCCAACGTAGGTATCAAACGTCGTTTCGACCCAAAAATTATTCTCCAAACTAATGCAGACTAGGGTTGGCACGAGGTTGTGCCGACGTTGCGCCCCGACGTTTGGTCGCGTGACACAACGTTGTCCCGACGTCCAAATGCTGCTTGAGATGACATCACTGTCTACTGTTGTTGGACATAGACCTCTTCTAAGTTCCTCCACGTCTCCCGTTTCTGGGCCCTCATTATCAAATACCCAGCGATTCTTTTTGTATCATCGCTCCAGGGCATCGATGATCTAACTTTATTACGTTTGTCTTCTCATGACCGCCATTCTTTTAATCCACCTGTTTAAAAAAATCATTCCAATGCACTCACACATTTTTGAATCACCCTGGAGAAGTTAAAATATTTTCCCGAAATACATCCTAGTGCATATTTTAGATTTGCACATAAACCAAACTCCCAGTTTTTTATTGTAGGAGCTACAGATGACCAACGCACTTTTGCCGGACCCTGTATATTTCTAGGTGCGTGACGAGGTGATTGGCTCCAATTTGTTGTATAATCATAAATTTGTCTCAGAATGCATAGCTCAGAATGTTTCAGTATAGCGCTTCGGCGAGGTGAATGTGGCGATCTGAACTGCTCCACTATGTTTTAACACTTAGATCCGGTTGTTTGGTTTGGTTGTGATACTCGGTTCAGGGTGCATTGTATTGTACTGACTAAGGGTGGATCTCAGGTATGGCCCACCATTGCGGCCGCGAGGGCCTATTGTGGCTCAGTTTCTACAAGCTCTTTAATAGAAAAGAGCATGAAAGTTCACCCTCAAGACCCAGCCTTTTAACATAGGCCGTTATGTCCGAGGGTGATATGTCTCCTAGGTCTGATAGGTCTAGCGTGGGTTTGCCAAACACCTCAAACCTGGTTCTGCCCCAGCGGGGCAGGTACACAGAACGTATTTCATTGTTTCGTCATCTTCCATACAGAGTCGGCATTCGGCGTCTTCCACCAGTCCCATCCTCTGTAGGTGTGATCGTGATCTCAGCCGGCAGTGGCCAGTGTATACTGCAGTGAGTTCTCCTGTTCCGCGTTTGGATGGCCCTGCTAGGATTTTCTTGGCATGTTCCATTCAAATTCAAATTTATTTATTAGACCCCATTAAGTTTTACAGATTAATAATAATATTATTAATTAATAATTATATTATAATAATTATTCTTTCAGAATTCTAATTATTCATTTTAATAATTATTCAGCTAAAAGGAAACCAAGGAACAGTTTAAGAACGAACTGATAAGACGTGTAATTTACGGCACTAAACACCTGGGCTATATATAGTATTGTGTACTCATTTGGTGTTTTAAAATGGACCCCAACAGACCTGAGGGGCATTGACACAAAAATCAGGACTCTGTTAACAAAATATCGATACCACCACCCAAAGTCCAGTGTGAACCGCGTATATATATACCAAGGTCAAGAGGCGGAAGAGGCCTTCTAAATGTAGAAAATTGCCACAATACACAAGTTCAGAAACTGAGGAACTACTTCTTGAGTAACAACTTACCGCTTCACCGTACCCTCCGAGATATTGACCAACACTATTCCCCTCTTGACTTGATGAACCCCACCAGCCCAAGTCTACGAAATTGGACGGAAATGGAAAAAGAGTGGGCCAGTAAAACTCTCCATGGCAGGTATAGAGCAAACTTAAAAAATACCACAATTAGTATGCTGGATTCAAATACTTACCTAAAAGCGTTCCCAGAAACCGAAGGAAGTATACTGGCAATACAAGATCAAGTTGTCCCGACACTGAACTATAGGAAATATGTCTTGAAGGAGAGAGTTGAAAGTGATCTGTGTAGGAAATGCAAGCGTACAGCTGAGAGCATCCAACATATAACAGCAGGGTGATCTATTTTAGCTCCAAGGCAGTACCTGGCACGCCATGATGAAATAGGAAAAATATACCATCAAGCTATAGCACTGGGAACTGGGCTAATGGAAGAAGGAATAGAATGGTACAAGTATAACACAAAGGATATTCTGGAGAATGCTGAATATAAATTATACTGGAACATCACAATTATTACAGACCGATCTATCCAGCATAATCGCCCTGATATGGTGCTTTTTAAGAAGAAAAAGGAGGAAGCCACAATAATAGATTTTATAACACCATTAGACGAAAACGTCCAAAAAGCATACCTAGAAAAGAAACAAAAATACGAAGAACTGGCATATGAACTTAGACAGTTATACAAATTAAAACAAACAAAAATCTTACCTCTAATGATATCCGTCAATGGCTTAATACATCAGCAAACTGTGCGACATACTAAAAATTTGAAACTATCGCCAAATGTTTTGTCCACCGCTCAAAAAGCTGTAATTCTGGGAACTGATGCACGCATAGTCAGATCGTTCCTTTACGCGAACTAGAGACTGCCTTGGTCCCAGCTATCTCTCCTGAACCTGAAACCTGAACCCGGCTATCTCTCCTGAACCTGAAAGAAAAGAAAAAAAATATTCTTAATAAATGTGTGTCTAAAGGGATCGCACCGCGATTAAAAAACCGATACAAAGGCACAAAGTGCCAGAGTGGGGCGACCCCAAACATTCCGGACTGCCTTTCCAGTAAACTATACGAGTAAGTACTCCCTAACTCATTCACAGAGACTGTCTCTTGCAAGATTTTTTGGAACGGTAAGTGTCGGTTCTGGGCCCACGAATGGCGAGCCTGCGCCAATTTTGGCGAGGAAATCAGCACGTTCATTTCCCTCTAGGCCGACATGTCCCGGTATCCATATTAGCGACACTTTTTTGAGTAGTTTCTTACAATGAAGAATCGTCATAGACGTGCTTTTCGTTGCTTAAGGTGCTTTCAACGCGGCTTGACTATCCAAAAATATGCTTATTGTTTTCCCGGTGTATTGCTGTTCTACCAACATAACAGTTGCACACATGTTTCAATAGCATATAGCTCAGCTTGGAAAATTGTGGTGTGTTTTCCAAGACTGTGGTAGATCTCAGTCTTTGGACTGCTGCAGTAAATTCCTGCGACAGATCCTTTTTCGTTTTTGAATCCGCCCGTGTACGAACACATTTTCACATGTAATTTTTTACATCTTTCGTTTCTCGGCTTATCCTATTCGTCCCTATTCGGAAACAGGACGTTCTAGGTACGTATCAAGAGTTGGACTGGTGGTGTGAGATCCGAGACCATTCCCAGAATCTCATCCGACTGTAGTTCGTCTGCTAGTTGGTTTTGTGTGAACATGATTGTTCCTTGGGTTTCACGTCCCATGTTTAGAAACTGTTCAGGGTGAGTTCAGATTTAAACAAAGGTTAAAAATTTAATAAGTATCGGATTGTCTGAGGAAAGAATATAAAGAACTGAGTTTGTAGGAAATTTTGTATACTATTATTTTGTATAGAAGTATTATTTCTGAAAAATGTACATTTTTAGAGATCTAAGCAAAAAAACAAAAATTGCAATTTTTTTACGTGTTTTGCTTATATTTATTGTCAATGTTCCGTCACGAAATTTTATTAGCAAACATCAGAAACGGATTCAGCCCCAAAAAATATAAAGTATAAAATAAAAATCAGAACTACCCCAAAACTTTTCTGAAAAAATACAATTTGACCAGACTAAGATTACAAGACAGAAATAAAAAAACTGAAATAATATTTTTTTTTAGGTAGGTATTTATAAATGTTTAGAAAAAGACACGATTTTATTGATGAGAAAAAAAGTAACGGCACGCGGGGTTCCCAAGCGGTCACCCATCCAAGTACTAACCGCGCCCGACGTTGCTTAACTTCAGTGATCGAACGGGAACTGGTGCGCCAACGTAGTATGGCCGTTACATATCAATACTGTTACTCTCATTCTATATGTCCAAAACTTTTAATTAAAAAAATATTGTATATCTGTAAAATGAAAACTGAAATTTATGTTTTTTTATATTTAAAATTTCATACGGCATGCTGCGTAATCTATTATCCATAGGATAACAATAAAATTCGATAAACTAAACGCAATCCGTTGTTTTGTTGGTTGCCTAGTCCTGTCTACAATTTAGATAATCGTCGTCAGAACATTATTCAAAAATTATATCAGAAGTGTTCCATAAAATTAATGAAATTTGATTTTAGTCTTCTTTAAATCTTATTGACACACGATATTATTATTCTCTCAAGTAAGTGTGCTTAATGCTTAATATAATAGCAAAATGTGATTTCCTCTAATAAATTCGTTCGCCATTTTGTCAACAAACTCTACATATATTATTTTATTCTTTGATCTTATTATCAGCTTATTATTGTTTATGACATTATAATGCATTTATAAAATAAGAGCTATGTATAGTTTAGTATATAGAGGATAGAAGTAAGGAGAATTATTTCTTATGGAACTTTATTTGAAAAAGTTATTAAAAGAAAAAAAATAAGGGTTCTCTAAATGACCGCAGTGGCGCTAATAAGCAATAATGAAAAAGTAACATAACCAAACATAAAACATAAACATAACCAGAAAAGTTGTTTGTTGTTATTGATGTGCAAAAAGATTTGTTTATATCTTTTCGAATATAAGTTCATTATTTTTATTCATATTTTGTTCTTTATTTGTTATAAACTATAATGGTGAAAGTGTGTGTCGTGAAAAGTTGCTCGAGTAGAAGGGAAGATAAAGGGCAAATAGAAAGTTACCCCGTATCTTTTTTCCAACCTACGGTATGTAAAATGCATAGATATAATTCGGTATTATACTTTGTATTATATGTAAAAATTAGAGTCAATAAAAAATGTAGTAAATATTTTTCATAAGATTATTGATATAGGTAGGTACATAATATACAAAATATATTTTACAAACTCATTAAATGTATTTTTAATGATTTTAAAGTTTGACAGACATGTATGTACAAATTGTTGGTATTCTCTTTAAACTTAAAAACAAGTAAAAGTAGGAAAGGCACTAAAAATTGTACTGCTAAAAAATATACAGAGTCGCTGACATGTATGGAAACGGTCGATCATTAGGTAAAATATAGGAGTTAAATATAAAAGTTATAAGATTTTTAAATACCTATATAATCTAGGTATTAGCCGCTAATAAATTTATGTATACAGGGTCGGTCATAAAGTCGTGGCACATCAAAGTTTCTTTTTTTAAATGGAACCCCCTGTAGATTATTGCATATTTCGGTTCTTCCTTCAACTCTAAGCATAATTCGAGATACACAAAATATAGTGATTTTGAGTTAGAGTTATTGATTTTTGAAAGGTTTTGTTGTTTTAGAGTTATTGACTTTTGAAAATATCACTTAAACAATTCGATTTAATTAATTTCGATCTGTATTTACGTACATTTAACGATGCGGAACTGTGATACTTAATAATATTTTAAATTAGTTTTCAAGTTACCTTTTGTAGATGTATAAAATGAGATTATATCAAGCCTGGAAATTATAAAATTTTCGTTTAACATATCAAAATTAAAACTTCATAATTCGTAAATTGTTGAATTTAGGTACATAATCGCAATACACATAATTAATGTACCTAAATTCAACAATTTCCGAATTATGAAGTTTTGATTTTGAAATGTTGATGAAACGATTTTGAAAATTTTGTAAATTCTAGACTTGAAATAATCTCATTTTATACAATGTGTCAATTTTAAAACTTCCCACCCTTAATATCTTTCTTGCAGTTAAAATTATGAAAAATCGGAAAGACACGTCAATTTTATTTGTAAGGGGGACACTTTAAATGAATATTTTTAGCCTTTTTCTTTCAACCCCCTAGGAGGGGTAGATGTCACCCTTACAATCTTCAATGAGAATGGGAGTCAAGTGGCACATCATTTTAAAGGGCGTTTAATTGTCCTTTCAGTGGTATCCTACTTTGTTGCTTTTTTGTCCAGAGGTTTCCAAATAATCGCATTTCAAAGTTGCAGAAACAATTATACCTCATCTCAATACCTGCATTGAGATCTTGGTTTTCAGGCTAGTGTTTACACAAAAAATCATTGCAATGGGTCTCCTTGTAGTACAAGTAATTAGAAGATTAGATGGCAACATGTACGTAGCCATTACTTATTTCTAGGGGGGTCGAAATACTAATAAACAGAAAACATCATAAACATTGACGTTTCTTTTCACAAATTCGATTATTGGAGTGGTCCATTATTTATTGAAGGAAACTTGACAGGGGTAATCTGTATCTTAATATGCTTCAAGAGACTATTGATCCTCTTATTACACAAGAGCTAGAAATTCAAATTGATGCAGAGGGTAATCCAGTTTTACAGGAAGATTTGTTAACATTCCAGAAGGACAGTGCTCCACCTCATTATTTTTTTCCGGTCCGACAGTGGTTAAATGAGAGATTTCCGGGTACATGGAGGGGCAGACGGGGACCAATTGAATAACCTCCAAGATCACCGGATTTTACACCCTTAGACTTCTTCCTTCGAGGATATCTTAAATCCATTGATGATATTGATGATCTTAAAAGGCGAATTACAGCAAAATACCGGTCAACTCCCGGTGAAGTTTTCCGAAATGTTAGGGAGGAGTTTTTATACAGATTTTATTATTGTTTAAAGGAAAATGGACAACATTTTGTACAACTTATAAGATAGGGCGTAAGTGGTGTAACCTAATCTTCTAATCATTTGTACTACAAGGAGATCCATTGCAATAATTTTTGTGTAAACACTAGCCTGAAAACCAAAATCTCAATGCAGGCATGTTTAATTGTTTCTGCAACTTTGAAACGCGATTATTCGGAAACCTCTGGACAAAAAGCAACATAGTAGATACCACTGAAAAGAGAATTAAACGCCCTTTAAAACGATGTGCCACTTGACCCCCATTCCCATTGAAGATTGTAAAGGTGACATCTACCCTTCCTAGGGGGTTGAAAGAAAAAGGCTAAAAATATTCATTTAAAGTGTCCCCCTTACAAATAAAATTGACGTGTCTTTCCGATTTTTCATATTTTTAACTGCAAGAAAGATATTAAAGGTGGGAAGTTTTAAAATTGACACAGTGTATATCTACTAGCGTGCGACTTTGTTCGCGTCGAATTAATCATTTGTAATGGTGACGATAAAGGAAAGCAAGAATTTCCATTAACATACAAACTGGATCAAATTTTCTCACATTTATGTCAGCATGAGAAAAAAACAATCGAGAAACCCCTCCTTATCGAACCTCTACACCCCACAGTCAATCCGTTTGCCAAAAATCAGCTTTAAACGTCAAGCAGTTTAGGCAGAATCGTGATTACTCAATGGTCATATTTTATGAAACACCCTGTATAAATTTTTAAAAAATCTTAAAATATGTAAAACAACAAAATAAAATAAAAGTGTTTAAGAGTTTTTCCGAAAAACTCACCGGTTTTTAAATAAAAATATTCTAATATTTGAGGGGTAGTTTCACCCCTTTAGAATTCGTGTTTCGAAAAATCCCTTCTTATCGTACCTCTACACCCCAAAGTCAATCCGTTTTGCAAAAATCAGCTTTTTACGTCAAGCGCTTTAAGCAGGATCAATGGCCAGATTTTTCGAAACACCCTGTATACATTTTTAAAAAATCTTAAAATATGTAAAAAAACAAAATAAAATATACCTGTTTAAGCGTTTTTTCGGAAACTTGACCGTTTTTAAATAAAAAATATTGTAATATTTGAGGGGTAGCTTCACCCCCTTGGAACTGGAATTTCGAAAATTCCTTTCTTATCGAACCTCTACACCCTAGAATCAACTTGTATGCCAAAATTGAGTTTCTTACTAGTCGAGTAAAAACGATATAAAAATGTGTCAAAACATTTTTTGGAGGTATAACTACATGCTATCTATACAGGATTATCAGTTAGGGCTTTGTGCATGTGAAATGACTAATTACGACCTTTTTGGAGGGGTCAGAAATTTTTTATTACGGAAAATGTCAAAAATCTGTCATAAATGTATAACCATGTTTTTTTACCTTTCCTACGCGATAACTCCTAAACTAATCAACTTATTCACATACTCTTTTTTTTAATCGATTGGGAACACATAGGCGGTGATAGCTGAGGTAACTAAAGTTCCATAATGAGCGTATTTTTTTGGAAAATGGATTAAACTTCAAACATTAACTTTATTGTATCATGAAGGGTTATTGTATCATCATGGTTTTCGGTAAGCGAGAAACTTTTTTATTTGAAGGAATTTTTACATAGTATCTGCGTATGAAATAAAGAAAAAATATTGAAAAAGTTTTTAAAACTTGTTACAACCTTCTATTACTAATAGTTTTATAGTTATCCTAAATTAGATATATAGAATAGGCCGCGCGCCTATATATAGAATATAACCGCCCCGAGACTCGATTTTATTTAGTGGCACGGCGGACGCGAAGTTCCGTAAGCCTATTTCTGATTATGTGCAATGCACCTTAATCTGGCGTTTTTTGTCAGTATTGAGTATATTCTTGGAGATGGAGGCCTTTTTTCCATTTTTACGAAAACAGATAATTACATCGAAAATACATGTAAAATGATGTAGAATAAAAAATAATATTCCAGGGCTAGTCGAGGACTAACTTTAGTTGCCCATGCTCTTTTTAGGCCTTTGTTTAAATCTTTATGTAAGTGGTATAAAGAGCAAAAGCAGAAAACAAAAATGATAACACCTAATATATATTAAAAGAAGAAATTCGTAGTTTACTAAAAGAGTTTCAGTCCTATGCAAACTTCAAGATATGTCCTTATTATGTAATAAAAATAATGTAATCATGTTTTCATAAAAAAATATTACAAAAATATGTTATATTAAATCGACACCTACATATATGTGCTGCTCAGATATTAAATAATTACTTTAAAGAATGACTTTCTTTAAAGTAATCATAAATCTTACTTCTTTTACTTACTAAAAGAATTTTCTACATTTACTCTAAAACATAAATTAATGCCACATCTAGCACGCCGTACAACGTGATGCAGGCCGGGCGGTATAGCGCGGCGTCTCTAACTACAGCGCGCGCACGGGTACTGATAACTTTAAATCTGAATAACTACAAAACTATTAGTAATAGAAGGTTGTAACAAGTTTTAAAAACTTTTTCAATATTTTTTCTTTATTTCTTACGCAGATACTATGTAAAAATTCCTTCAAATAAAAAAGTTTCTCGCTTACCGAAAACCATGATACAATAAAGATAATGTTTGAAGTTTAATCCATTTTCCAAAAAAAAATACGCTCATTATGGAACTTTAGTTACCTCAGCTATCACCGCCTATGTGTTCCCAATCGATTAAAAAAAGAGTATGTGAATAAGTTGATTAGTTTAGGAGTTATCGCGTAGGAAAGGTAAAAAAACATGGTTATACATTTATGACAGATTTTTGACATTTTCCGTAATAAAAAATTTCTGACCCCTCCAAAAAGGTCGTAATTAGTCATTTCACATGCACAAAGCTCTAACCGATCATTTCATAACGAGTTTATGTGGTTATACCTTAAAAAAAAAATTCGAGAAGGAAGCGACTTTTCTCAGCGATTTTACTCCACTATACGTTGAGTGGTTTGAACAGGAACGTGATTAATCAGTGAATCACTTAAGGATTTTATATATCAGTATAGATAAACGCTAATTTGAAAACTAATATCAAATATTATTAAGTATCACAGTTTTCGCAGAATGGCATCATTAAATGAAACCGAACACATCGAAATT